TATATATATATATATATAGAACCTTAATTGCTTGTACAAGTTCGTTTTGACTAACAGATGAAAGTATCAATAGATCCTCAATTTTCACCTAACTTTGACCAATAAAAAAGCACAATCATGAAAGCAAAGTTTTCTCATGAAAAATTATAATACATGCACACATACACAAATACCCTTTGAAAAACTTCAAAACATGTGCAAGCAACAAGCATATAAGTTAGAAAATTCTAAACATATTCAAAGAAAATACCATTCAACAATTCTAAACTAGTTCAGTCGACTTCGACTGACTTAACCATATAAAACACAAATACCAACTTAACAAAGCTTGCAGAATTAGTACGAGAAATTAGTTTGGAGGGCTAACTCGACACGTCAAAGCGACTTCATGAACTTGCCTCATAGCCGAAAAACGCATCTACTTACATCATTGTCAATATTTCAACTTTTTTTTTTTCTTTTTGGGTAGTCATTTATGTAAACTTATAAATATAGGAAGCCATCAAATGGGTAGGGGAGGTATTTTCTTTGATGGTGGGCATTAAATCTTCTCACTAGAAATTTTCTATTTCAACTTTAATCTTGAGAGATAACATACTTTTCCTTCTTTATTATTGTTTTATGTTTTCCTACTCCTCTTATATGTCATTAACTAAGTGGTGTGAGATCATTGACAATTGAATATTCCATTATCTTTATGTGATTTGAAGAAACTATTAAGACTTATTTGATAACATGGTTCGACAGGAAAAATGGAGAAGATGATGTTACCATAAAAATATTATATTGTGGTATATGTCACTCAGATCTCCATCAAGTCAAGAACGAGTGGAAGAATACTGTGTATCCTTCTCTTCCAGGGTATTGTTCTATTCACAAAGTTCACCAAATCTGCCATGAAAAGTACTTTTTCATATTTTAAAAAATTAGTTCTGAATTTGCAGTAACATGGCTAGATTAACATTGAGATGAGCAAAATATATATATGTAAAAAAGAAAAGAAAAACAATCAATTTTAATATCATACACAATTCAAAAAAAATTCAATGACTTTTAACTTATCATAATCAAAATATGGGATTTTTGCACACCAAAAAACTATGTTAGGCAATGTTAGATAGCATTTCCTCCATCAAATCAAAAATCAAAATTGCATGATCACTTGCAGGCATGAAATTGTAGGCCTGGTCACCGAAGTCGGCAACAACGTCGGAAAGTTCAAAATTGGAGACAAAGTTGGTGTGGGCTGCTTGGTTGGTTCCTGTCATTCGTGTGAGAATTGCATCCAAAATCAAGAGAACTACTGCTCCAAACTCATACTCACCTACAATTCAATCGATACTGATGGCACCATCACTTATGGAGGCTATTCTGATAAGATAGTTGTCAATCAACATTTTGTAGTCAAGTTGCCCGAGAACTTGGCGATGGACAAGGTGGCACCACTGCTCTGTGCAGGGATCACAGTCTACAATTCAATGAAGAGCTTGGGGCTCAATGAGGCTGGGAAGCACCTCGGAGTTGTCGGACTTGGTGGGCTCGGCCACATTGCTGTCAAATTTGGCAAGGCATTTGGGATGAAGGTCACAGTCATCAGCTCATCTATGAAAAAGAGAGAAGAAGCCATTAAGCAGCTTGGAGCTGATGATTTCCTCATCAGCAGTGATCCTCAACACATGCAGGTTGTAGTGATGTTTTAGAATCATGATTTGAAAGTTTGGATGTTCAATTTCTACTCTATTTGAGTCTTGATGTTCCACCCTTCAAAACAATTAACCAAATTTAGATATATCATGCATCCTACCAAACAACCATTGAATTCCTTGCATTGTTTCTGACTCTGGTTGCAGGGAGCAATAGGAACAATGGATGGAATCATTAACACGGTGTCTGCAAAGCACAATCTCGTGCCATTGATAGCATTGTTGAAGACAAAGGGGAAGCTTGCCATGGTAGGAGCACCAGAGCATCCATTGGAGCTTCATGTTGCGCCTCTGCTATTTGGTGAGTTATATAATAGAACTTCTTCAGCTATTTTGTTTGAAAGACCATGAATAAGGGCTCTGATGTTTATGTAACTGGATTAATTGTAGGTGGGAAGACAATTACAGGGAGTTTGATAGGTGGAATGAAGGACACACAAGAGATGATAGATTTTGCAGGGGAACACAACATTACTGCAGAGATTGAACTCATTGGTGCGGATTATGTCAACGAATGAGGCGATGAAGAGGCTCGCAAAGGCCGATGTCAGATACAGATTCGTCATTGATATTGGCAATACTTTGTATTCAGTTGAGCAATTGGGTTGAAGAGTGAGAATTTCTACCATCGCAGTGCTTAGTCAGTTTGTCATTAATCTAATGGCTAGGAGTAATTGCCATCCCAGAAGGGATGAGGCATGGTCACTTGTCCCTAAAACTATCTTTTTTGATGTTTGAACAATCTCATGTTTATTTTTATAAACTTGGTATGTGATCGTATGTTATTTTTATGAAATGTTACATTTTAATAACTATTTTGTGTAGAAAACCACAACTCACATCACCCAAAACGCATGCAAAGGTTTGAGCCCCAACTTCTTTATGTTTATAAAGGGGGATTTACATACATACCTCACAAATCTCATGTAGTTACTTTAATACCACTTTGGTATCATAAACCTTTGCAAAAGAAGTGTGAGGTCTGTGCGTAAATGCCCCATTTTTAAATAGATTAGATATGAATTGCTCTGCTTTATGAAATCAACAAGTGATATGCTGATAAATAAAATAGACAAAAAAATGAGAAGGGTATTATAGATCTAGCCTCACCCTAATTATTTGGTATGAGTTTACAGATACTCAATATGCAATAGTTCCTACAGAGGCTTACATGAGGTATAAAAACTATCTAATGGATTGTTTGGAAGATTTACATGCATACCACTAAATTCCCAAGTATTTGCATATCTAACACCCAAACCTCAATTTTTTACATGTATAACACCTTAAATATGGAGGGAAAAGTGTCTAAAAAGTTAAAATGATGGATATTATTTATGTGATATAAGAGATTTGAATGATATAAAAATAAAAAAAAAGTAAAAATTAATTTTAAGATGGGTAAATACGTAGGAATTGAGTGTTACGTATTTAAGTGACCCCTTTTTTTCACGACTTCTAATTCAAGTAATATTTGGTATGTCTTTTTTACTTCCTACTACATGTCTTCTAACAAGCAGCACTCATTGGACAAGGAGTCTTCTCAGATGGTGAGCGATCGTAATCTGACGAACAATCCTTCTTGGACAATGAGCCTTCTCAAAGGGTCAGAGAGATATTATGTGGGGCTCTTTGGCTATTTTGTGAGAAGCTCCATGATCAGCTCAGAGAAATTGATCATGAATGATTGTTACTTGGATTGGGCTCCTTAAATTTTTTCGTTCGGTTGTCCTTGTTGTGGTATATATATATAATTTAAAACGATCGACGACGAAGCAAAAAAAATAGCACGAGAAATTCACACCAGAAAATAACACACAGATTTATGTGGTTCGGCAAATTGCCTACATCCACGGAGTTGCAGAGGATTTTACTAATCGAGGAAATTACACCGTAGTCGATAGTCTCAACACTTACAAGAGACAACTTTATCTCTCTCTCTCTCTCTCTCTCTCTCTCTCTCTATCGGAGAGTAGCCCAAGAAGAAGAAGAAGAACTAAGTTTGATCTTCTGACCTCACCGAAAACTGCGAACAGAACAAACACCAAAGTCGTCCACCTCTAAAAAAAGCTTTCCCGTAAGCCTTAAACACACCGAAAAAAAAAACCAAGCAAGCCAAATGTCGTGCGTATCTTCTTATTCCTTCTGTCTCAAAGCAGGCGATACTTCGCGAAATAGAGAGGAAGCAGGAGATATGGCACTGATTCGCGAAATAAAGGGGAGACGGGAGCGATTTCTGGCGAAAGGACGCGAAACTTCAAGCGCGAAACAGAGGAGGTGCGACTATTCGCGTGCGCGGGAGACGGGAGGAGAGCGGAAGCGGGCGCGTCGTTCGTGATCGGGAGAGAGGGAGGCAGGCGTGAAAGGTCTCCAGTGCTAACAATCTCCCACTTGGAGACTGAACACATGCTACAACATCTCCTTCCTCAAACTGATATCCTCCACTGACGGCGTCGCCCCTTTCTTCAATATGAATCCTTCACTTTGAATCCTCTACTTTGAATCCTCCACCTCTGCAACTCAAAGCCCATGTCTTCAAGTTAGAAGACCAACTGAAGCTGCGCACAACTTCAGTTTCTCCAGAGTAACACCCTTTGTCAACATATCAACAGGGTTCTGGCTTCCACAAATTTTCTCAAGCATCAATTGTCCGTCATCCAACAATGATCGTATGAAGTGATACCTGATCTGAATGTGTTTTGTCCTGGACTGAAATGTTGGATTCCTGGCAAGGAATATAACGCTCTGACTGTCACTGTAGAGTACGCCCATCAGATCCTTCTTGCCTAATTCTTTCAAGAAGCCCTGTAGCCATATCATCTCCTTTGCAGCTTCTGACACTGTTATGTACTCAGCTTCTGTAGTAGACAACGAAACTGTCTTCTGCAGATTAGAGCCTCATGATACTGCAGTGCCAATAATAGTGTAAATATAACCTGTAGTACTTCTTCTAGTATCGATGTCTCCAGCTAGATCAGCATCAACCAGGAATTCAACGCAAGAACAACATAGTGAATTGGGATCGGAAGGGAAACTTCAGGAATATTCCCTCATGAAATTTCCTTGTGCGAAATTTCCTTTGCTGGGAGGCAATTTGATTCCCTTGCTGGAGACAAAAGAGGAGGAAGGGAATCTAGGCTGCGGAGAAGAAAATTTGGGAGGATTTTCTAAATTTCTTTTGCTGAATCTTGGCGGAAGCGGAAAAGGGAAGTTCAAATGAAATTCTGGAAGGAAAGCAGAGCGGAGTAATTGGAAAGGGATTTTCTTTCCTTTACTGGAGCTGCAGAATATTCCTTCAGCGGATCTTTGTTGGAGTCACAGTGGCTTAATTAAGGAAGATCTTTACTGGAGGCCCAATTAAAGCTTAATTAAGTTATTTTCCTTCGGAGAATTTGTAGCAGAATCGAAGTACAATTTCTGACTCAACAAGGAATCTTGCGGAGAAGAAAATTTGGAAGTATTCTCTAAATTTCCTTGGCTGGAGAAAGGAAATCTTGGCTACGACGCAGAAGAATATAAAATTTTGTGGATTGCTCGCAAGGAAGACGGGCTCGCTCGGGCTCGCGGGAACGAACAGGTGCAAAGCAGTTCGGATAAAGGGCTGCGGCAGTTTGACGAGTTATGCTTCAGAGAGTTCGCGGTAGAGGCGGCATCGAGTCTTCGAGGCGCGATAGTTCATGAACCTTCGCGGCATTATGCAAGATAGAGTTAGCAAACAAGAGTTCGTGTGCAGTTGTCGCGGATAGGAGCGTTTGCGAACAGAGGAGTTTGGTGGTGTTTGACCAGCGAAGTTTGCAAGTTCGTCGCAGGAGGAGTTGCGACAGGTGGAGTTTGCGACATGTGGAGTTCGATAGGGTGCTGGAGAGCGAGCAGGCGCGATTATTTGCGAACAGTGGTTTCATGGAGGTATTTCACGAAGGGTTTCGCTCACGGGACAGCAGTTTAGCCGAGGTGTTGGCGCGAACAAGAAAAGTGTTTCAACCTACATTTGTGCATAAGAAACTCCATGATATATTTCTCCTAAGGTGTTGGATATTCGCAATGTAGAGATTTTCTCTTAAGGGGCAGGATATTCGCAAGGTGAATATATTTCTCCTAAGGGGCTGGATATTCGTAAGGTGAAGATTTTCTCCTAAAAGGCAGGATATTCGCAAGGTAGAGATTTTTCTCCTAAGAGATTGGATATTCGTAATGTGGAGATTGTCTTCTAAAAAACTGGATATTCGCCAAGGTGGAGAATTGTTAAGTATGACTCATAATATCAGAATTTGGAGTCTCTTGGAATGAAGAGATGTCTCTTAGAATTGAAGATGTTTGTCTCTTAGAATTTAGTGGGTTGAGATCAGCGTGGGCGCAGCAGAAACATGGTGGCCCAACCCACATTGGTGCAGGTGTAACTCCCAGGTATCTTTTCTCCTAAGGGGCTGGATATTCGCCAAGGTGGAGATTTGTTATGTATGACTCATATACCATATAGGGTCAGACGCTGGAACGAAGCAGAGCGGAGCGAAGCGAAGCGGAAGAATCTGTCCAAATCGGGAAGTTACGTTATGTGGGTTGGGGGTGTTGGGTCAACGCCCCGCTATACGGTACAGGGGTAATTTGAGAATTACATATTATACTGTATGGTTTACTCTGGAATTATAAATATACCTGTTTGTAATCTTAGGTCTTTGAAAGAGTTGAATCTTGTATTTTGTATTCTTTTCTGAATATTAAAAATGAAATTATCACTCTGCTCCCGAGGATGTAGGCATCTTTACCAAACCTCATTAAATCTCTGTGCGTTCTTCTGAATTTGTGTCGATTCTTATTTGTCTTCGCCCAAATTTCTCAACATTAATTAAGGATTAGATGTTTAATGAACGTCAGATTAGAGGACGCCGCTTTTATATAAAGGTGTTGGAAGGAGAGGTAACTGGCGTGAAGAACTAAAGCAGAGTTTGATAATAGTGGCAACGACGCAAAATGGAGGGAAGGCCGCGACGACATAGGAGGATTGCCGGAAAGCGTTTGGTTTGGCGGCGAGAGACAGCTCCGACGTTCTATCCCCCTTCAATTTCTCCAGGAGGTTTGCAATGCTAGTTTTAGCTATCTGCAGTATCCTGAGAAATTTACATACGAACAACACGATTGTTAATCACTTCAAAATTGATTCGAATTTTAACTTGATCAAAATGTACAAGTTGGGCTATGAGCAAATAAAATCAAATAATAAAAGCTGCGAGCCTATTTTCTAACTGAAACAGATCTAAATAACTTTATTTGAGCCACCTTGTTTCTATTTCATGCCAACGTATCCAAATAACTCAGCCAGCTCGTTTTGATTTCGAGCCGGATCAAGCTCAATTCAATTTCGAGCTGAGCGCTCAGCTTGAAATCTAGCATAATAAGCCACGCACCGATTTCAATCCGAACTCAATCCATTTGAGCTCTGATCGAAAAGACCCTATATCCTTCATGCGGATTAAAAATTTGAGTGTTTAATATGTAAATATCAATATTTGTGCGTCAGATTGTGTTACATGTGTGATGGGCCTTAGTAATCACATGTTTTTTATGTTTTATTTTGTATTTTTATTTTAATTTTAATAAATTAGGTTTGATAGTGATACATTTTTTTAAAAGTAATCAGATATCTAAAAATTTATTTAAGTATTCTTTTTTTTTAATTATTTTATTTTATTTTAAACAAATATATACAATAAATATATCAAATAAATATGTTTATAAAATAAAAATAAAAATTGACATCAAACACCCCGTGACAACATATGTAGTTCATCGAAGAGCAATAGTTTTGCTACTAATAAAATCAACACTTTAACAACAAAAACTATATAACATATCAAGGATAAAAAAGGGCAGAGGAATATAATACTTTTTGTGACATAACACAAAAAATATATATATAATTATATTTAACAATATTAAGAATTCTCATTTTTTTAATATTGCAATGATTGACACACAGAGTTTGTAACCAATATACATAGGCAAATGAGGGGTTTGTATAAGCAACTAAGGGAGGAAGACTAGTGGTTTTTGCCTCATTTGTGGTATGTAGAGTATTGTCTTCATATTCCATATTGTCTACATATTTTTTCCTTATTTTTATTAATTTCTTGCTCTGATTGGATTGAGATTTGAGAGATTATATTTTATATAAACCTAAGTACAATCTGGTCCTAAATTTATATAAAAATAGATACTCTAAAATTAAAGTTATGGGATATGAGCAACCTGCTCCTAGTCTTCATCATAAATTACTCTCAATCAGGCGATGGAAGCCTTGCCTTTCTTTGTCACTATTATAAGCCCAAAAAGGGTAGGGGTTCTAGGGGACTATTGAATCCACCCATAGCTTAGCCCCATTGTGACTTACATGCCAACATTGTATGATTCTTTTTGTTTGTGAACGGCTTGTGTTCTTTTTAAGCTTGAAATATAAACGAGCTGAACACGAGCAGAGCTTGGGCTCGCTCGTGTTCGGCTCGTTTACACCCCTAGCCACAACATTTGACCAAGTTCAAAGAACGGGTCAGCATCACAAACATGACTTGATCAGAATATTCTAAATATATTCGGAGAAAGCACGAGGCAACAACAGAATTTGGGAATTTGATTAAACTGGCAAGACAACTTTGCAAACACGCTCAGCCGATTTCAACTGACTAAACCAGATAACTAATTCCACCGAATGAATGAGGTATCTTTTTCTTTGAAGGTGGACATTGAACATTTTTCACTAGAAATTTTTGAGAGAGAATACATTTTAGTTTCTTTTTTTCCGAGTTACTACTCTTCTCCTCTAAAATGCGCATACCTAAGCGGTGTAAGATCACTCACAATTTGTGACTCAACACACACATAGCTATATATATATACATATGAACCTAAAGCTGATCCTCAGAGGAGATTAAACCCAATAATGAAAGAAGTTGTTAAAATAGAAATTTTAAAATAGTTATATGCTGGAATTATATATCATATTTCAGACAGTGCTTAGGTAAGTCCAATTAACTGTATTCTGAAGGAAGGAGGAGTGACCGTTAAAGAAAATGAGGAAAATGAATTAATACTAATAAGACAATTTACTGGTTGGCAAATTTGTATTGACTATAGAAAATTAAACATGACCACCATAAAAGATCACTTTCCTTTACCTTTTCTAGACTAAATGTTGGATAGATTAGTTGGGAACAAATATTATTGCTTTTTAGATGGATATACCGGTTATCACCAAATTTCAATTTCTCTATAGGATCAAGAGAAGACAACATTTATTAGCCCATATGGAACATTTGCTTTTCGTAGATTGCCTTTTGGACTATGCAATGCACTTATGCACCTGCAATTTTTCAAAGATGTATGATGTCAATATTTAGCAATTTTATTGAACATGGAATGAAAGTGAAGAAACATATATAATTTGTTTGATTTCATGTTTTGACAGAAAAAAAAGAGAAGATGATGTTACCATCAAAATACTGTATTGTGGTATAAGCCATACGGATCTCCAGCTGACGAAGAACGAGTTGCAGAGTACTTTGTGTACAATCCTTGTCTTCGTGGGTGGGTCTTGTTGCACTAAATTCATAAAGTAATGCAAATCTGCCATGAAAAATACTCTCCATATTAGGAAAAATTAGTTTTGCATGTGCAGTAAGATCGTTAGATTTACTTTGAGATGAGTGAAATATTAAAAAAAAAAACCAACCAATTTTAATATGATATTAATCTCAAAATAAATTCAAAGACTTTACCTCATCATGGAGAGAGTATAAACTAATTTGTTTGTACAAAATTATATTGGGATGCTTGTCACACAACAAAGACTGCCACTTGTCACACAACAAAAACTGCTAGGCAACGTAAATAATATTTTATATTAAATTAAAAATAAAAAAATAGGCAACGTAAATAATATTTTATATTAAATTAAAAAAAAAAAAAAAAAATAAATAACTGAATGACCAGCTTGCAGGCATGAAATTGCCAACATTGCCACCGCAGTTGGTTGCAATGTCGGAAAATTCAAAATTGGAGGCAAAATAGATGTGGGCTGCTTTGTTGGTTGTTGCTATTCCTACGAAAACTGCAACCAAAAACAAAAAAAAAAACTACTACTCCAAATTCATATTCACCTACAATTCAATCTACAAGGATGGCTCCATCACCTATGGACTCTGTTCTGACAACATGGTCGTCGACCGACACTTCGTGGTCAAGTTCCCCCGAGAACTTGGCAATGGACAAGGCGGTACCGCTGCTCTGTGCAGGGATCAGTCTATAGCAACATGAAGAACTTGGAGCTCAATGATCCTGTGAAGCAGTTTCGACTGTCGAACTCAATGGGCTCAGCCACATCGCTGTAAAATTTGACAAGGCAATCGAGATGAAGATCATTATCATCAGCTTATCTGCAAAAAAGAAAGAGGAGTCCATCAATGGAGTTGAAGCTAATGATTTCCTAGTCAGTAGTGATCCTCTGCAGATGCAGGTTACAGTGATGTTTAAGAATCATGATTTGAGTTTTCGTTTTACTTCCATCACAAAAGTCTTGATTTTATTGGTTTTGACAGTCTTTATGGCTTCAATCACTAGTTTTGATGTTCAATTCCTACTCCACCTTTCAAACATAATCAACTAAAACCAAATTTACTTAAATCATACCTGCTACCAAACAAACTCTGAATTCCTTGTTGGATTGTTTCTCATTCTGGTTGCAGGGAGACGGAATCATCAACACGGTGTCTGTGAAACACGATCTCATGCTGTTGATAGCATTGTTAAGCATGAAAGGAAAGCTGGTCATGGTCAGAATACCAGAAGAACTTGAGTTTCATGTTTTGCCTCTGGTATTTGGCAAGTTAGAACAGAAGAACTACTTCAGCTCTTTTGCTTGAAAGCTCAAGAAGAAGGCTCTGATCTCTATGTAACTGGATTAATTGCTGAAGGAAAGACAATTACAGGGAGCTGATAGGTGGAATGAAGGATAAATAGGACATAATAGTTTTTGTAGGGGAGAACAACATTACTGCAGAGATTTATCTCCTCGGTGCGGATTATGTCAATCAGGCGATGACGAGGCTCGCAAAGGCCGATGTCAGATACAGATTTGTCATCAATATCAACAATACTTTAAATTCTGTAAAACAATTGAGTTGAAGAGTGAAAATTTCTAACCCTGCAGTGTTTAGTCGATTTGTCCTTAACCTAATGGCTGGGAGTAATTGTCATCCCTGAATGTATGAGAGATTATCACTTTGTCCCAAGAGCTATCCTATTTTGATGTTTGAAAAACCTCGTAACTATTTTTATAAAATTGGTATCGTATATTATTTTATGTGAAATGTGGTTGGTTATGAAATGTTGCATTTCAATAACTATTTTGGGCAGATAACCACAACCTACACCACCCAAAACACATGGAAAGGATTGAGCCAAACTCGGTATATTTTTAAAGAGGGATTTACAAACATGCCACACAAATCTTATGTATTTACTTTTATACCTCTTTGGAATCATAAACTTGGCACAAAAATGTGAATGTCACTTTTAAAAAGTTTGACAGTGTGATATTTTTATGAGATATTAAAGGTTTGAATGCTATGCATGCAATATGCAAATTTAGATGTTAGATTCTTAAATACTTTAGAATTGTGTGGTATGTACGTAAATGCCCCATTTTTAGCTATATTGTAAGTTAGGTAACTTTTGAGTCTAATAGAAATAAAGACCGAGAAAGAAACAAAAATGGGATATTTAAATAACTCTTTTATCTAGCCTAACACAAAAATTGACAGCAGGAATTTAGGCACAATTCAAACCTAACCACAACCACAAAATCTGCTTCCCCTGATTGCAAAGAGCATCTTTTATAAGCAATACAAAGAAACATGGGTAGTTTCAATAAAGAGCCGAAATCGATGTTATACTTTGCTTTATAAAATCAACATGTGATAGCTAAAATAGACAAAAAAAATGAAAAAAAAATTAAATATTTAAAAAGACAACCCATCATAGCTAATCATCAACATGGGATCATAAATAGCCTCATCCTAACTATTTGGTATGCGTTTAAGGATTGTCAATATGCAATGGTTCTAATAGCGGATACATGAGATGTCGAAACTATCTAACGGTTTTTTTTTATTGGTGTGAGATTTATTTACATACCACTAATTTCTCAAGTATTTGTATATCTAACACCTAAACTTCAGTTTTTACATCCATAACGCCATAACTATGGATGAAAAGGTGTACTTCAGTTTTTAGAAATTAAAATGACGTATTATTTGTGTGATAAAAGAGATTTTTGTGATATAAATATAAAAAAGTAAAATTTAGGTGTAAAATAGAAAAATAAATAGGAATTGAGTAGTATGTATGTAAGTGCCCCCTTTTTTTTCACAACTTCGAATTCAAATAATATTTGGTCTGCCTTTTCCACTTCCTACTAAACATCTTCTCACCCTTGTCGCACATGTCAAAATGATTTAAATCCATTCTCTTTCATCTTATCTTCAATTGATGTTATTGTGTTACATTGGCGCCTAGTCTAAGGGCAAATTTGTATTTTGTATGCCTAAGGACAATTTAATCTTTTATTATTATTATGATATAAATAGGCTTATTATGTCTAGAGTTAGGGTTATGCATGAGATTGAGTTGTGAGTCTTAAGATTAGAGTTTAGGAGAGATTTCCTACCTCTCAAATTGTAGAAATCGGGAGAAATCGCCCACCTCTAGAATTGTAGATGCTTATCTTTGAATTCTTGTTGATTTGCTTGATTATTGAAGAAAAATCAAGTTTGTCCTAATTTATGTGGAAAGGCATGCCAATTTTGACATCATATCATATCAAATTGAAATCAAAGCAATCAATTCTAGGAATCAAAGAAAAAAGATCGGGCATCGAGAGCCAGAGTTTCAAACACATGAAGTAATCTCGACATACAGGCAAAGCCAAGACGAGATCGCAACTTACCGAAAACCGCAACTCGCACCTTTCAGCATACGAGGTAGGCCATGAAATAATTGCGTCTTCTATCGCCTGTGAAGACCGATGGAATCGACGAAATAGCAGTGTATAGAGATCTGTAAACCATCGGCACTCTTGTTTCTGAGATGTCTACTCCCATACAGTCTCAATCAGCCCAACCTAGAAGCTACGTATAGAGATTTGAAACTCCCCTATTTTTTCTTCATCTAATATAGTCACGATCAGAGCTACCTGGGAAAGCAGTGCGGCATACAAAGACCCGAAACTCTATCTTACGTCTCCTCTTGCACCGTCTCCGCGTACAATCGCGATCAGAACTTGCGAGGATGGCTGCGATAGGATCGGACATGTCCTAATTGTGATCCTAGAAGTCAGCAACCAAATTCGGAATCAAGCGTGCCTTATTTACAGAAAGTAATAGAAGCCAAAAAAATTGACGATTTGGAAAAGAAATTGGTGGAAAAAGTGCAACAACTTAAATCTGGGATAGATAAAAGGTTTTCTGCCATTGACAACTGATTTGAGAGCTTGGAAGAGAAGTTGAGAAAGCTTATTGAGATACAATCCAAGACCCCGCCGACAGTTCAGTTTGCAAACTCTACCCAGGGGTTGACCAGACATTCATTGGCTAAATCGAAAGAGAAAGAGATCAGACGAAAGGAATAAAAGGAAAGCATCTACCATTAAGAACCTCCTCTTTGGGCTTTGATGAGTGGTGGATTACAGATTTTTGATAAGGGCGGTTGAGCTAAAACATGGAAAAGAGATTATGCAAGAGGTATGGGGGAGCAGAAAAAAGAAAGGACAAAAGCAATTAGGGAATATGGATATGATCGAAGGAGGGAGTTTTACCCTTGATATATGGGGGGAAACAACAGAGGAATAGAAAGTTGGGGTGGAGATTTTATAGTTAGGAAGTTGAAGATATTGATCTTTGAGGGAGAAGATGCACATGAGTGGGTCTCGGGAAGAGCAACACTTCGAGGTGAATGGGCAAGAATGGGAGGAGAAACTCATAGCGGTAGGGTTATGTTTGGAAGAGAAATATCTAGCCTGATTTCAGTGGAGGAAGGCTAGATACTCGATCTAATTGTGGAAGGAATTCAATGATTGTTTATTAAAACATTTCTGAGCAATTTGGGAAGGAGAAATATACAGGCAATTATATGTCTTGACTCAGGAGGGGGACTGTCATGGAATACAGAGAGAGATTTGAGCTATTGTCAGCACGTTTGAGGGGGATTTCTGAAGCAAAATTAAAAAGAAATTTCATGAAGGGCCTAAAGCCCAACATACGAGCATCAATCCGACTGTTAAGACCGTGAAGATTGAGAAAGAAGATGAAACTAGCTTAGATGGTAGAGAACAAGAATCAGATGAAGAGAGTCAACAGGAGTAACACGGATGAAAAGCCGTACCGAACTATTACAACCAAGATGATATCAAAAGCTCAAACAGAGGAAGTCCGGAGGGAGGCTGCAACGGGATGCAAATAATGGCACAATTTGGACAACACTCAAGTGCCTTTTAGAAAGGGAGATTCGGGAGAAGAAAGTCAAGGGGATATGTTTCCGGTGCGATAAAAAGTTTACCCAGGACACAATTGCAAGGATAAAAAATTACAAATTCTAATAGTGCATGACAAGGAGGCAACGAATGAAGAGATAGAGACAACTCTGAAAGAGGAAAACTCTCGGTTTTTCTCACCTTAAGGACAAAGAGTCATTTGGAGGGGAATATTTTTACGTTAGTGTCTAGCCTAAGGGCAAATTTGTCTTTTGTACACCTAAGAGCAACTTAGTCTTTTATTATTATTATTGTTGGGTATAAGTAGGTTTGTTATGTCTAGGGTTAGGGTTATACATGAGATTGAGTTGTGAGTCTTAGGTTTAAGGTTTGGGAGAGATTTCGTACATCTTGAATTGTAGAAATTGGAAGAGATTGCCTGCATCTCGAATTATATGTGCTTATCATTGTATTTATATTTATTTGTTTGATTATCGAAGAAAAATTGTGTTTGAACTAATTTCTGTGGAAAGACTGATTTTGACGTCGGATCCTATCATACTCCCATCCCTCTAATGTCAAAGACTGACTGCTGATATATCAACTCATGATGAATGGTTAGGGAAAACTATGAGTTCAATAATTATTCATGGTATTTGGGAAGTTAAACGGATTACTTTTGCTTAATGATACAAACACATATTGCTACAATTTTTGTTAACTTTAATTTTGGAATCTAGGATAAGTTAGATGATTCTGAAATAATTTATAAATTTCCACAAAACTACCCCTCACATAAAGATGTCTCTAACAATACAGACCTTTAGAACTCACATTTGAGTCTCCCTTTGTTCTAGGTTCAATATAAGCCCTATGGAAGGTTAGGTTTAAACGATTAAAAACACTCTTATCAAAATAATAAACAGTAATATATACCAATATCACTTCCTTAAATAGTTTTAGATGTAAGAAGGGTAAAAGAAAAGATGCCATCGTTGTGAACAATCCAAGTAGAGTTAAAAAGTATAGTCCAAAGATGAAAGCTCCTCAACTGAGAAAAAATAAGTGCAAAAAATTTGTATGCAAGAATGCAAATGATTAGAAAGCCACAGTATGTAATTCAATGCAAAAAAAAACTGAAACTTGCATTTTAATACATAATCTTAAAACAAGAATACCTCTTAACAATGAAAAACTTCCAACTGCCAACACCAAAGAGATGTAACTATAAAGAACTGGATTGCTCAGGAAGATGAAATTAGTTGCACTTTTAATCTAAATCACAGAAAATTTGAGAACAAAAACCAAAATGCTTAAAAAATTCTAATTTATGAAAATAAATATCTAGGATAAATACATTGAATCTTTCTAAAAATGGTGTCTCACCTCCTCCATTATAACATAAAAATTCAACCAACATCTAAAAGGGTGATTTACATACATACCACACAATTCTTATGTATTTAAATATCTAATATTTAGACTTTCATATTTACATACATAATTCTCAAATCTTTAATATATCATCAAAGATTTACAAGCATTTTAAAACTGAAATACACCTTTTCATGTGTATTTTATGACACCAATGTAATATAAAAATATATATAAAACTTTGAGGGTTAGACATGTAAACACATCGAAATTGTGTAGGAAGTATGAAAAATTCCCTATCTATTACATTGAAGTTATGATTCACCTGGATAAAAATGGCTTAGGAGGCGAAAGTGACCGAACCTCCGGTGCAGAGCTAGGGAAAAGCACATTAAGCTTGTGCATAAGAACATCAGCTTTCGACGGTATTTCGTTCAACAAAAATTGTTGGACTATAGGCTTTTTGAACCATTCTAGTATTGAATCCCCAGGCGCCCTCAAGACAACCTTGCTAACTTCAAATGGAGATTCAACAGATCCAAGCATCTGTGCTACAACCATCTTGAGCATTGAACCAGTCACAAGCTTTATCCGCCGAGGCACAACACCATAGTAGAGCATTCTCTTCCTAAACCGGTGCAGAGTGTGCACAACAGCCACCAAAGCAGCCCCAACTGATAAATTCCTGACATCCAGTGACCATGCTATGTGTTGATCAAAAACTATGGCTTTAGGGAACAGCTTGTTCTCATAAGCCACCTTCCAAACACATCTGGCACGGTTCATTTGACCCATAAGGACCAGATAATTAAGAAGAACATTGACAAAATACCTAGCAGCACTTTCCTCTGTCTCATAATCAATTTCATGAAAGAATTCCCTCACAAAAGATAACACAGGCTTCTTCCTCTGCTCTGTGCCAGTAAAGAGGCCACACATGAACCAGTGAGCCTTGTGCTTTGTCACGCTCATTATATCCATTATAGCTTTCTCGTTCTTCTCATCCTGGCATCTCACTAAATGGGCAAGAATGGAAGTGTAGAGTATTAGATCAACCTTGGCAGCAGAGCTTACATAGGTTTGAAGCAGTGGACGAGCTGATTCGTATAAACCTGCCTTCATGCAGGCCTCAAACAATTGACGGATGATGAAATTGTTTGTTCTGATTCCAGCTGAGCCCATAAATCGAAGCCATCTCAAAGCCAGCTCGTTAGATCCCTCCTTGATATATATCATCAGCACATCGCTTGCATTCACATCAACTGAAAAACCACCTGCTTTCATGTCAAGTAGGATCTTTGCAGCCAAATCCAGGAGTTTCTTGGAAGCCAGAACAGTCAGAAGCGAAGTATAGGTGTTCAAACCAGGTCGTAGGCCAGTATTGATCATGGAATTGTAAAGACGCATTGCAGGGTCAACCTGTCCGGCAGCAGAGTGCATTTCAACAAGGGAAGCGTAGGTTGAGGGAGTAGGGAGAAACCCAGCCTTCTCCATGTCGGCAAAGAGGGTGGCCGCAAGATCAAGCCTGCCAGATCTCGCCTGCGATTCAACCATCATAGTATAAAGGCCAAAGTTCGGCCTGAAACCAGCAGCTTTCATCTCATCCCAGAGACCCAGTCCGGCATCCAGCTTCCCCGCCTTCACCAACGACTCGATCATGGAGACATACATTGTAACAGACGGCTTGTACCCGGAGGCAAGCATCTCGCGGTAAAGCCCTACAGCTGAGTCCAACCGCCCAGCCTTGCCCATGGAGTCCACCAAAGCAGAATAGATAGGAAACCCCGGCCGGGCGGCACTCCGAGACTTGGAATCCAGAAAGAGGCGGAGAGCAGCATCTAGGCGGCCTGAACGCGCGAGGGCAGGGATCATGAGGTCGTATGTGGAAGAGTCAAGGACGCACCCGCTGGCCTCTAGGGCTTCGTATATCTCGAATGCCTTATAAGGCAATCCCTTGCTGAGAAACAGGGTTATAAGAGAATTGTAAGTCTGTGTCGTAAACTCAGTAAAGTTTACATCGCGGAGCTTCTTGAAGCAGTGGAAAGACACCTCCATGCGGTCGGCGTGGGCGAGATACTGAATCGCGCGGTTAAGTGCATGTGGAAAGGCAGCTTTTCCCCCAGTCAAATCGGCATCCGAAACGATCTCATCAAAGAGTGAGAGAATGGAGTCTGTGTCGCCGGCAGAATGGAGTCGATCAAGAAGAACGGAGTAGGAGTCGTCCGAAGGAGAAAACCAGGGTTGGCGGCGAGCCCAACGGAGTAAGGAGAGGGATGACTCGGGATCGGAAAGATGGGAGAGAGCGAGGTGGAGGTGGTTCGGGGATGGCGTAAAAGGAAGGCGATCGAGATGAGAGTGAAGTTCCGGTCCCCAACGCCATCGACGGGCAATCTCCACGATCTTAGCGGCGGCGGCGGGCGGCGAAAGGGGTTTGCGGAGATCACCGACCATGACGTGGGAATCGAGGCCGGGCTCGGTGGGACGGT